AAATCAAAATGCACAAATGTGTTTATACACAACAGCCAACGGTTGAATACACAACAACAAACAACTGAAAAAGTGAAAGGACATGTTAGAAGACCGCATTGAATCTCGACTAGCAATGTTAGAATAAAAACTCCCAACTAAACTAACCAACAACACAACTAAAAAAACTAAAAAGAACCCAACAGGGTAATACTAGAGTGTCAGATCTCAACAGGATAATAAATTTGACACTCGGGCTTACAGGGGTCAACGACCCAGACAAAAATTACAAGACACGATCAACACAAACACGAACAACACACAACAGAAATCTAATAAACTTAACATGAGCAACTATACTACTAAATACAATAATAATAAGCGCCCTTCCGTAGTAATCGAACAGGTCAAAACCAGCGGAGAAACCTGGACTCCGAACCTCACCCAAATTGACCCACCTACAACCAAGAGGACAACCAGCCAGCTCCACACATCAGCCCGCACGAGCTCGCCTAACACCACTAACCAAACTCGACGCCGAAATTCCTCTAGTTTCCAACACCATAAATAAAACCAGAAGGGAGGGAGTGACTCGCCCTCAACTCGGACTTCCCCAACACAAATAACCAGAAGGGACAATTGTGAAATGTTAAATTGGTAAAAAAAAAATTACGGAAATAAAACAAGAAAAAAAAAATCTCTGGACAATGATTTCCTCGTCGACCTTATCCATATACAACGCCCCCCAGCCACCGTCGCCGACCGCCATCCAGGCCACCTCCGATCCTAAATCTAGCCCCTCCACACCAACATCCGACCCTCAATCCTCCCCCAAATCCCAGGCTCGGCGGATCAAGACGAGCCCTCAGCTCAGCCGCTGGTCCAGGGCTCGCGCAATCCGGTCCGGTCGGAAATTGAACCGCCAAATTCAGCTACCCAACAACGAAACCAACAATCCGGATTCTCCCCTGACCGTCTCCGGTGATAGCAGCGACAGTAACGGAAGCGATCCCCTGACGCTCTCCCCGGCCAGCCAAGGAGCGAGCGACGGAGACTATTTAACGGACGTGGCGGCGTCCGGCAAGTCCATATACATGGTGTCGGACGGTACGGGGTGGACGGTGGAGCACTCCGTTAACGCGGCGCTGGGGCAGTTCGAGCACTGCCTGGTGGATCGGGTTTGCCCGGTTAACACACACTTGTTTTCTGGGGTAAGTTGTGCCCTTTATATAGCCTCTGCTGAAAATTGAAATGCCTTAGTGTGGTTGCTAATCATTGCTTTGCTTGATTTTGCTGGTCAAATTGGAGGTTATATATTTCTGTGTAAGTAGAGCTCTTAAATGAAACACTCATGAGCTTGGTTTGTTACTATTGATAAATGAGCCAAGCTTGAGCCCGTTAACTCAACAACTCCACCCGATAAAGTCCCGATCCCGAGCTCGAGTATGTTTAAGCCATATCTGAAATTTGAGATGGAGATTGAAGGTTTGCATCAAATACAGTTCTGTGGTTGGCATTGGTGATTATAAGGAATAATCATCCACTGCTCATCACACACGGACAAAGAATTAAACACGTACCTATGGATAAGTTGGGATATATTATCATTAGTTTTATTAGGCCCCAAGTTAATCTTGATCTGAGCGCACACGAACATAGTATTTGAGTTTATTAGAAGCCTTTTCTGAATTCCGGGAATTATCAATATCACCGAAATAGATTCTAATTATATGAGCAGTGACAAATTATTTGTGAGTTGTGGTATAGATACTTTAATCAAGCAATGTATGAGTGAGACTCATCTTTCGTTACTTAGTTACAGAACATGAAATGTATCGGATCATATACACCATTGGGACACATTTAACATTCATTTTATTAGCCCACAGGCCAATCTTCATTTGCTAACGTACACGTACATGGAATTTGAGTTGATGATTAGAAGGCTTTTCTGAGTTCCAGGATTATCAAGATTACCAAATAGATTCTAATGATATGGGCAGTGAAATATTATTTCTGATATGGGCAGTGCTAATAGTGGACTAGATCAAAATGGCTCAATTAAATTCCAGTGCTTCTTCTATTAGTGAAGTTTCTAGAAAAAAATATATCAGACGACGCAATGCACCTTGGGTCGCTACGGAAACAGCGTCCTTGTATAATTACAAGGGTAAGGTCTGCGTACAACTGACCCCCAGACCCCAACCTGTTGGGAATATACTGGGTATGTTGTTGTGTGTTGTAGTTGTGGTACATATACATTGAACAACCAATTTTGTGCATGATTAGATTGCATTTCATGTTCCGTAACTACTTATCTAGGCCTATATAGTGATGTAATTCAATGATCACATTTTTAGCTGATTCAGTAAAACACATTAGTCATGATGTTACCTTAGGTAACAAGAGTACTTGAGCCTAGATAGACGTTTTTGTGCTGTCCGGATTTGATATTCTTAATTGCACTGAACTGCTGAAAGATTGAAACTTGAGCTACCCAACAAAATATGACTCTCTCTCTCTAGATTGATGACGTGGACCGACTGATGGAGATAATCGCGCAAGCCGCCAAGGAAGGGGCCATGGTGGTGTACACCCTGGCGGACCCCTCGATAGCTGAGTCAGCCCGCCAGGCTTGCCTCCTGTGGGGGGTGGCTTCCCTCGATGTCCTCGGGCCCATAACCGAGTCCATCGCTTCCCACCTCAACGTCACCCCATCGGGTCTCCCCCGGTGGGCCCCGGGACGCAGGCCCGCGCTCGGCGAAGACTACTTCCGGAGGATCGAGGCCATCGAGTTCACCATCAAGCAAGACGATGGGGCCCTTCCCGAGAACCTGGACCGTGCGGACCTTGTCCTAACGGGCGTGTCGCGAACGGGTAAAACCCCATTGTCTATCTACCTGGCGCAAAAGGGTTACAAGGTGGCGAACGTGCCGCTTGTGATGGGTGTGGGCCCGCCGGAGAGCCTTTTCCGGGTCGACCCGGAGAAGGTTTTTGCCCTGACGATTAACCCGGTTGTGCTGCAGACAATTAGGAGGACGAGGGCGAGGAGCTTGGGGTTCGATGAGGGGATGAGGAGGAGCTATTGTGAAATGGATTATGTTAGGGAGGAGTTGGAGTTTGCTAGCAGGATTTTTCAGCAGAATCCGGTGTGGCCGGTGATTGGTGAGTTAGCGAACGAATTTTTTTTCTTACTTTTTCTTGTTTTTTCTGATGAATTTCGTTTCGTAGTGAAGGTTTAATCGGATTATTCTGGTGATTTTTTGATGGGTTGATGATGAGTTACTCTTAATCCAGAATTTGAGATGATTTACATTTGATATTTTTGGTGGCTTTTGAATTTGATCGTGCAGAGGTTACTGGGAGAGCAGTTGAAGAAACTGCTGCTATTATACTGAGGCTTTACCACGACAGAAAAAATAGATGCTCGATGCCGAGAATTTCAAAGCGCTACTGAATGCAGAGGAATTCAACTTCCACTGTCACGGTTTGTTTGTTTGATTGCTTGTTTTTTATTTTAATTTTAATTGTATGTGATCAGTGTGTTTTGGCTGATTTACGTAATCTTTAGCTCATGTTAATAGCATACGAGACATTTCGGTATAATGAAAATCGACATGTAAAATTAGCCTACGGTTTTCTATTCCAGAAAAAAAAATGCTCCACCAAGTAATGCCACACTTGGAACTCGGAAGACATATTGCTCTTTTTATCATTTAGTCATTAGTCGGTTCGATTTGGAGATTTCAAAATTTGTAGATTCGAATCGAAAATTGAATGTCATCAAACTCCAATCTTTGAAACCGTATGAGAATGGGGATGGTTCAGTATGGAGATCTTTATATTTGGTTTTGTTCGATTTTGGAGATTCGGGGCTGTTAAACAGCTCAGATTGTTTGCCTGTGGCAGCTTAGATGAGAAGTATGCTATCGGATTCTGTGCTTTAGTTGCTGCCGATTGCAAAATCTCTCATCTTTGGTTAGTAGTTGTTTTTGCTCTAGGACTCTGATCGAGGTGCTCCTCTAGTCTGCCGTGTGGTAGTCTCGGGCTATTAGGCCCACGCTTTGTAAATTATCGTTAATAATATCTAACGTTTCGGGAAAAAANNNAAAAAAAAAAAAAAAAAAACAGCTCAGGTTGGACATGCGGAGGTTTTTAATTATTAAAATAGAATAAGAAGTGAAAATTATTAAATTGAATTAATTTTTTCTTCAAATAATCTGTTATAATTTTTAGTGAAATATCAATATGTTTTCCTATTTTCAATTGTTGTGTATATTTATTATTTAAACAATTTTAATGATTTTGTTCTGAAATCAATAGTAAAAAATAAAAAAAAAAAATAATTGAATCCAGTAGTTAAGGTTTGTTTTGGGAAACCTGGAATTTGAACTTATAATTCATAATAAAATTTATATGAGTTTGATTTTTTTTTTTTTTTTTTTCAAATAATCTCATAAACTATAAGAAAGAATGAACGTTGGAAAAATGTTATACTCATTATAACAAAATTTATTTATTTATTTTGTGGTAAATATTAAAAATATTAAAAAATATATAAGTTGTTCGTGAATAAATTCAACTAGTCTTATCTAAGTAAATGAAGGAGATGATTCTACCACTAGTATTCATCTTGTGAACATGCACAAAGAAAAATAAAAATCTATATATTATATGTATGTATACAATATATAAAAATTTGATATTATATAATTAATGTATTACATTTTAAATTTTGACTACATGCAAATGTGTAATGTAAATATAATTTATTTAATTTACATTTGAATCTTTATATTGATGCCATAAATTTTAATGGCTATTATAATTTAGTAACTTAGAGGGACCATACAATTAATTAGTTAGAAAAGTATTACAACTATTTTATCATTGTTATAGCATTTGTTTATGTAATTTTAAGGTGTTTAATTCTTGACACTTATGTCAATTAACTAATATTAGATAAAAATCGCTTAAAAAGACAAAAGTATTTTATTTTAGAAAAAATATTTTAATGAAAAAAAATTGCAATATAATTTTTTATAAGTATGTAACTTCCACATACTATTTAATGTAAAGTTGTAATCAATTAGTGTTAGTAGTGAATAAATTAGTTTAAAATTATTATTACACTTTATTAATGTA